GAGCCGTGCCACTCCCTCGCACCCTTTTATGGGCTGTCCAGCAGCTGGACAGCGGAGATTTAGGTCTGAGCGTGGCCAGCCCAGGCCAGTTCCTAATTCCCCCGGGGCCGGGCAGACATCTGCCAGGCTGGGAACACGGTGTGCTGGCTGGCAGGGCTGCAGGGCGGGGCTGCAGCAGGCCTCCTAATGCACACGGGGAACATGAGGGGCTTCAAAGGTGCCCCTCTTGGGGTTGGAGCTCTGAGCCTCCGCACCTTCCACACCGGGTTATGAGTTTGATGTTGGGGATAAGGGAGCTATTGTGTCAGGCAGGGGGGGGGTCCCCCTTTGTAGGGGTGTCTGTGAAGGGGAAGCATCTGCCTGCATCCACACCAAATTAGGGGACAAGGTTGTGTGTTCATGGCAGTACTGAGAGTATCTGAGAACTGAGGTGTGTGTATGGGTGTGGGTGCTTGGCACACTGCGGTGAGGGAGCAGTGAGGGGAATGGCTTATTACTGATTGTGCAAATACAGATGAGTTTCGTGGGGGGGGGGGGGCATGAGCCCATCTGGTTAGAAGGGTCTGTACCTCTGACCCCAGGGTGGGGGAGGCCCAGCTCAGTGATCTCTGACCTTACTGGTCTCACCCCCACCTATCAGCATGTGAAGGCCTGGTACCTCTGACCCCAGGGTGGGGGAGGCCCAGCTCAGTGATCTCTGATCTTACTGGTCTCACCCCCACCTATCAGCATGTGAAGCCCCTGCCCCACATTCTCCCCTGATCCTGGGGAGCCCCCCAACCCAACCCCTCCCATTGACCCACATTCTGTCCCTGCCCTACAACCCCTGACCGCCACCATCTGCCCTATGCCCTGGCCACAGATGGAGGACCTGTATGAAGACTTCCACATTGTGAAGCTGCCGCTGCTGCCCCACGAGGTGCGGGGGGCAGACAAGGTCAACACCTTCTCTGCCCTCCTCTTGGAGCCCTACAAGCCCCCCAGTGCCCAGTAGCACCTCTGCCAGCCCCAGTCGCTACCATTTCACACCCACCCTCCATTCCCCCCCCCCGGGGGGGCAGAGTTTGCACAAAGTCCCCCCCATAGTATAGGGGGAGCCACTTGGGGGGCGGGGGGCGGGGAGGAGGTCTGTTCCCCCTGGTGGGGCTGAGGGGGCTATAGCTGCCCCCACCTCTCCCTGCCTCTCGCCCCTCAATAAAATGATCTTAAACCACTGTGGATGTTGATGTAGAGGGGTTAGGGATCAGCACCTTTAGGTACAGTTGCACAGGGTGTACACTGCACAAAGATGGCACATCTAGAGGCACCAAGTCACACCAGAGATCTAATAGAGGTATATGTTTATTATGGTAACTTTGGAAGGAGGGTATCTTCTTTTTAAGAGAGTGTTTTTTTCTAACTCAGTGGGTAGCAGTGTCCCTGCTGAGCCTATAAAATCTGTAGTAGAAGGGGAGCATCTGCCTGCTTCCTTTGAGGTTCAGAGCGTGGGAACTGGGAGGCCCCTTGGCCAGCCCTAGGCTGGTGGGGAACGGATTAGGCGGCAGCGGGCCCAACACTGCCTGCTGTTTGGTTTAGGAATTAGTGGGCGCCCTGGGCAGAGGTTGGGCCTGCCAGACTGAGGATTAACAGTCTCTGCCCCATGATTCCTGTTCCCATGGGATGGCATCAGCTCTTCCCAACACCGGGCTGCAACAGGGGGCTAATTAGGAGGCAGGATGGAAGAGGACTCAGGTCAGGTGGGCCCCTGAAGTCCTGTCTGCCTAGAGAGCAGCCTCACTGGGTGATAGGCAGCATGCTTCCTGAAGTTTGAACTCCGGTCCTTTTATCCCTAAAATGGAAACATAAAGTGTGGCCATTCAGAACCATGGCAAAATTGGCCAGACCTTGGAAGGGTTTAGCACACCAGCTTGGAAGGCATTTAGTGGGCTCCCTTACCCCTTCACTCCTCCCCCCTGCCACTGCCTGGACAGCCAGTGTCATCCCCGCTTGAGAGACCCAAGACTGGGGCATTTGCAAGTTCCAAGCCAGAGCTGGTTCGAGGGGACAGAAAGAGGATGCCTGAGGACATGCATGAGTCAGGAAGTGGTGTTCAGGCTGCACACGGGTGTGCCAGGGTGTGCGTGTCAGGGGAACCCAGCCCCGAGCCTAGACGTGTCTCCCCCCCGACCACCATCGTTCCACTGGGTGTGTGCAGGCAGGCGTGGACAGGTTGGGGTGGCGCTTGTAAACAAATACAGTGGTGCGACCTGTGACAGACCCCAGGCTCTGAGCCAAACTGCCTGAGTTCAAAAGCCAGCTGTGCCTCAACCCATGTGTCATCTGGGCCTCAGTTTCCCTACCTGGATAGTCGGAATAACAAAAGCACCAGTTTCGTAGGTCCACTTGTAAGGACTCCGTGAGATGAAGTAAGCAGCGCCAGGCTCCACCAGGCACAGAGCCGCCAAGGAGTGTTTGTTATTCTTCGCTGTAACAATTATTCCGCATGTGAACTAGCCCGGGCAGCCCGGGCAACCTGCCCCAGGACCAGCGGGGGTCCAGCAATCAGAAGTGTGTGGGGACATATGTGAGTTGGGGGAGGATGGCTGAGCACAGAGTGGGGGCTAGCTGTAGTGTGTGTAGGGATGCGGCCTAGGAAGCGGGGGCCCCTATCTCACGAACCGAGGCCATCCTTGAAGCCCGTGCCCTCCCCCGGTCCTGAAGTGAGCCGTGCCACTCCCTCGCACCCTTTTATGGGCTGTCCAGCAGCTGGACAGCGGAGATTTAGGTCTGAGCGTGGCCAGCCCAGGCCAGTTCCTAATTCCCCCGGGGCCGGGCAGACATCTGCCAGGCTGGGAACACGGTGTGCTGGCTGGCAGGGCTGCAGGGCGGGGCTGCAGCAGGCCTCCTAATGCACACGGGGAACATGAGGGGCTTCAAAGGTGCCCCTCTTGGGGTTGGAGCTCTGAGCCTCCGCACCTTCCACACCGGGTTATGAGTTTGATGTTGGGGATAAGGGAGCTATTGTGTCAGGCAGGGGGGGGTCCCCCTTTGTAGGGGTGTCTGTGAAGGGGAAGCATCTGCCTGCATCCACACCAAATTAGGGGACAAGGTTGTGTGTTCATGGCAGTACTGAGAGTATCTGAGAACTGAGGTGTGTGTATGGGTGTGGGTGCTTGGCACACTGCGGTGAGGGAGCAGTGAGGGGAATGGCTTATTACTGATTGTGCAAATACAGATGAGTTTCGTGGGGGGGGGGGGCATGAGCCCATCTGGTTAGAAGGGTCTGTGGGACTGTAGGGGAGGGGTCTCTGTTGTAGGAGTGTGTTTGGGACCCTGCTCTGACCCCAGGACCATGTGCCACTGTGTTGAGAGCAAGTGTGCCTGCATCTGGTGTGTGACCACAGCTCGGAGTTTGTGCAGGAGAGATGGGGAGTAAATATATGGTCCCTCCCGTATGACGCTGTATGGTTGTGTGCGTGAAGGCATTCTGGGGTCTGCGCTTAGCGGTTATGTGACCTTGCATATCTTTGTTCCCATGGTGTGATCATGAGGGAATGCGGGGTCCCGGGTCCTGAGTGGCTGGAGTCCCATATGGATGGATACCTGAGATCCGAGAGCCTGATGGGTTAGGGTCCATCTGCCCATATTCAAATGTTGGGGGTGGGTAGAGCTACCCGTGTCTTGTGTGACTTCGTAAGTCTTTGTGACAGTGTAGATTGCCCTCTGCATTACCACAGTTGTGGGAGGTTGTGTTAAAAGAAGCTCAGCTTGTGTCTGGGTCTACGGTGTGTCTTTGTATGTGCATCCTTGCGGAGTGACACGCCCTCACTCCGCAGTGTGTGTGTGTCTCTGGAGCTGGGAAGGAGACAGTCACTGCCCCCTCCCCCAGCTTAGGTCCAAGATCCCTTGGACGGGCCAGTGACTAACTAGGACAGAGACAGGGAGGAGCGAGGGAGGACAGGGCGGATTGCTCCCCCTGCCCCAGGTAGCAAACTGGCAGGACTTCTCCAAACAAACTTCTGAGGCTGCAGCCAAGGGGGGGGCGGGCCAGGGAGGGGCTGCCCACGCCCACTCCCCAGCCCCCTCCCCCCAGAGTCTGGCCTCAGCCCCACCTAACACTGAAGTCACCCGCCCATTCTGTCCCTGGCCCCGTTTGTCTCTGCACCCTGCACCAGGTGAGAAGGGCCCAGGCCTTGGGGAACAGGATCCTGAGGAGAGACGGGTCCTTAGGCAGGAATCCATCAAACTCCTCAGGGTGGGGACTTAAGGGCTCTGAAGGGAGGAGGGGAATGGACAGATGAAAGGTCCAGGTGGGTCCATGAGAAGGGGGAAGGGACAGAACCTGGGCAGTTAAGTTGGGATTGTGTAGGGGAGAGACCAGCCGGAGGAGAGGACCTGGGGGACAGAGCCTGGGGAACTGGAGGCTTGGGGACTGGGTTTCCAAGGGCTTCAGAAGGGCGTGCAGGGGTGGAGGATGGGCTGAGACTGGGAGCTGTAGGGGTGAGGTGGGGGACCGGCTGAGATGGGACCTGTAGAAGGGGATCTAGGCTGGGGAAGAGCTGGAGTCCTATGACTCTAGAAACTGAGGCGCTGGGGACTCAGGGAGTGGGGAAGGCTGTAGCTAGAGCCCAGGAAAGGGGGCTGGGATTGCATAGAGGGCTACTGGGGCTGATTCCGGGACCCAAGGGTCTTGGAGGGTGGAGGGTGGAGGGTGGAGGGTGGAGAGGACCTGGAGAGGTAGACGCCAGATGCTGGGGCCAGGAACCCTGGGAAGAGGGAGGCCAGTCAGAGGGGATTTGGGAAGGACTGGGGGGCTAGGGCCGGACTGAGCACGCTTGGGAGGAGACCGGAACCTGGGCTCGGGATGTGGCCGAGGAGACCACGGTGCGGGAGGGGACACCAAGCTGAGTTGGCCCGCACCTCTCCGCCCCTGTCCGCAGCCCGGGGGGTGCGTTCCTCCGCCCACAGGCTGGGGTCCGCTTCAGCCCCTTCTCCTTCGGTGCAACCGGCCCGGCGCTGCGATGACCGTCACATACACAGCCCGCGTGGCCAATGCGCGCTTCGGAGGATTCTCGCAGCTGCTGCTGCTGTGGCGCGGGAGCATCTACAAACTTCTGTGGCGTGAGCTTGTCTGCTTCCTCGGGCTCTACATGGCGCTGAGTGCCGCCTATCGGTGAGGCGGCCCTGGGCTGGGGGGCGCCGGCCAGGGAGCCTAGGGAAGGGACCTTGGGTGTGTCCTGGAGGGAGGCTCTCCTGTGACCCCCTGCCCCCTCCCTCGCAGCTTCGTGCTGACAGAAGAGCAGAAGCGTTACTTCGAGAAGCTAGTCATCTACTGTGACCAGTATGCCAGTCTCATTCCTGTCTCTTTCGTGCTGGGTGCGTTTGCTCCAGAGTTCCCCAGAAACCCATTTCCAGGCCTTTTGGAGACCCCATTCCTCAAAAGACTACCCCCTCAAATCCAACCCCAACAGACCTGTATTTCTACATCTTTCATGCCAGATGTGGCCCCAATTACAGAGACCTTGGATGTCACCTGGTTACAGTAAGCCACGAGAGCTCCGTGTCACCCATACATAGGCTTATCCTTGGCCATCTCAGGGTCTCCCCACTGTGTCTGCATGAGACTCCTAATGGCTCCCTACATGTCGGGCCCCAGGGACCCCTCCAGTGACCCCATATGACTCCATCCTCTCAAGGGCAGCCGGGAGGACATTTCTGTTGACAAGTCAGTGACTTCACGTGACCCCAGCCTCCAGTTTCAGATCCCCATGCTCCCAACCCTGGGTGACAACCTGTCTTTGTAGGCCCTGTGTCTCCATCTCCATACTGAGATCCCAATCCCACATCCCAGGTGACAATCAAATAGCCAGGGTGACCCAGCCTGCTCTAGCCTCTCTGACCAGAGGACTGCCCCCTTCCCCCGATTCCCAGCCCAGGTGGCCCCGAGAGGTGAGTGGGTGACAAGCGTTCCCGGGTATCTCTGATTGCAGATCGTGTATCATCCCTCTTGCCACGACCTGGCCCTAGGATCCCCACTTAGCCCCCCCATTGCCGGCTGTCCCGCAGGTTTCTACGTGACGCTGGTGGTGCACCGCTGGTGGAACCAGTACCTATGCATGCCGCTGCCCGACGCGCTCATGTGCGTGGTGGCAGGCACAGTGCACGGACGCGACGAGCGGGGCCGCCTCTATAGGCGCACGCTCATGCGCTACGCCGGGCTCTCGGCTGTGCTAATCCTGCGCTCAGTCAGCACCGCGGTGTTCAAGCGCTTCCCCACCGTCGACCACGTAGTGGAGGCGGGTGAGGCTCCGCCCTGAAGCCGGGAGGGGGGCGGGGCTGAGGACAGGGGACGGGACGAGTAACCTCCCACCCACCCCGACTTCACCCCCTCCAGGATTTATGACCCGGGAAGAGCGGAAGAAGTTCGAGAACCTGAACTCGTCCTACAACAAATATTGGGTGCCCTGCGTCTGGTTCTCCAACCTGGCTGCTCAGGCCCGGCGCGAGGGCCGCATCCGCGACAACAGCGCCCTTAAACTGCTGCTCGAGGTGGGCCCGCCGGGAGGTCATTCATACAAAATTCCAGGGAAATTACACCTCTCCGGAATTGTGTCAGATGGCGGCCTCCCACGAGGCAGATTCCCAACACCATTACCCAGCAGTCCCCAGGTGCACACTTATCTCTAGGGGGGCCAACTCCCAGGCGCATAGTATCCCTACCCCAGATGTACACTCCCCACTATGTACTCTCCCTGGAGACCCAGAAGCGCACGCCCACATCCCACCAGGTAACCACTCACCTCCAGCCCACATACCTACTCACACCTGATCCCCTGTGTGCGCTCGCAATTCAGGCCCTCTCGTGACTTGTATCTGCACCCAGGAGCTGACTGTGTTTCGGGGCAAGTGTGGAATGCTCTTTCACTACGACTGGATCAGCGTACCCCTTGTCTATACCCAGGTAACCCTGCCATGCCTCTGTTTAAATCGGGCATCAGACGCTCTGACGCACTGGTCTCAAGGAAAGACTGAGGGTCAGCTAAGACCCCCTATCAGTGATACCGCATTCTAGTCCTCGGCTCTCCAAGACCTCCTGAGACTGGGAGAACCCTGACCTGGTGACCCACTCCGCCCCCCAGGTGGTGACCATAGCTGTGTACAGCTACTTCCTGGCCTGCCTCATCGGTCGCCAGTTCCTGGACCCAGCTCAGGGCTACGAAGGCCACAACCTGGACCTGTGCGTGCCCATCTTCACCCTGCTGCAGTTCTTTTTCTATGCAGGCTGGCTCAAGGTGGGTGGGGCGCAGAGGTAGGGCCCCCGGGGATGGGATAGGCACGGGTTCACAGGGCTCTCTACCAGACTATTCCCTCCCCCTTCAGGTAGCCGAGCAGCTCATCAATCCCTTCGGAGAAGACGACGATGACTTTGAGACCAACTTTCTGATCGACCGCAACTTCCAGGTGAGACTCGGTTGTGATCATCCGGGGCTCCCAAACCAGCCTTGGCCCCACCACCCGCCTAGACTTGCCCGGGCTTGGACTCTGAACCATCCTTCTTTCTTTGGTCACCATACTCCTAACCCATCCTGAGGGGTCCACCCCGCGGTGCCTGTGCTGTGCCAGGCTCCACCCGGCCCCTCATGCCCACGCCCGCAGGTGTCAATGCTGGCCGTGGACGAGATGTATGATGACCTGGCCATGCTGGAGAAGGATTTGTACTGGGACGCCACCGAGGCTCGCGCCCCCTACACCGCAGCCACAGCGTTCCTGCTGCAACAGCCCTCCTTCCAGGGCTCCACCTTCGATATCACGTGAGCCAGCGGGATGTGCGGGGCCCATCGGTGCAGGAGGGGCTTCTGGCCCCGAGGGGATTATCCAACCGAAGGGGCTATAGGACACTAGGACGGGGCCAATTTGGAGATTCGGGGCTAAGACCTAAAATCTGTGAGGACTAGAATGGGGGCTAGGGATCCGGGTCAAGGTCTGGGACGGCCACTGATTGGGGGCAGACCTAAGCGCTAAGGCCTATGAGGATTGGACGGGTGGCCAGAGGCAGTGCCGGAGACGCGGCCGTCACAACTGAAGCTTGAAGGGCTAAGTTTGAGCTTAGCCAAACCCAGAGGATGAAAGCAGGCTCTCGAGAGAAGGACCAAGGTCTTTTGAGATAAGTGGGACAAAGGTGTGGGTGGAACCAGGAGGACCAGCGTGTCTCGGTCTCTGTCAGTCAAGGAGAGCAGCGAGGTCGCAACGCTGCACCACTGTCCGTCCGACAGGTTGGCTAAAGAGGACATGCAGTTCCAGCGGCTGGACGGTGCGGACGGACCGCTGGGCGAGGCGCACGGTGACTTTTTGCAGCGCCTCCTGCCGATAGGCGCAGGCATGGCCGCGGGAGGCCTGCTCGGCCGGCGCCTGTCCTTAATGCGCCGCAAGAACAGCTGCGTGTCTGAGACGTCCACAGCCGCCAGCTGCGCGTGCGCAGGCGCCCCCGACGGCGCGGCCCCGGAGTGCGGTTGCGGGGACCCGCTGCTCGACGCCGGCCTGCGGGAGCCAGAGCCGGAGCTCCCCGTCGGCCCCGAGATGCCCGTCCCGGGGCCCGCCCCCGAGCCCTTCACAACCGTGCCTATGCCCGCGCCGCGGGGACCGGCTCCTCCCTGGCTGCCCAGCCCCATTGGCGAGGAGGAGGAGAGTCTAGCCTGAGGCCCTCAGGCCTAGGATCCCCAAGGACAGGGACACAAACCCCGACAGGGCACGCAGGCAGCAGTTCGGATCTGCGTAAGCCGCTTGTGGACTCTACCTGCCCTATTTTGACTGGTTCCCGCCTCCTGCACACAGTCCTTCACGTCTGGTACTGGGGCTTGGAGCGCCTCCTGTGGGCCAGGCACTGGGCTAAGGGTGAAGGATTCGTCCAGCTTCTTTGAACAGCTGGTCCTTCCCACTAGCTCTACTTCCCTCCCTCCACCGCCTGAGAGGACCCATCAGTGTGCCTTGCCTTTATTTTTTCCTTAAAATGGAGATGTGAGTGCCTACCTCATTGAGTTATGGGGATGAAATAACGACTTTAGAGTGTCGATCCATTATAGGTGCTCAATAAAATGTTAGTGGTTTTTACACACATTATTAGCCTGACTTTTCCTGCCAGGAATTAGACTAAGTAAGATTTGAGAATTCTTCTAGATTCTTTGATCACACGATGCCTCCTTCTTCCCAAACTCTGCCCTCTGAAATGACCCCATCAGTGTCCATGGCTTTACTCATTCATTACTGTACCAGCCGGTCCCCAGACCACAGCCTCCTCCTGTCAGTCTTGTTTTATGATTAGGCAAGTGACTTCTCTGCCCCAAGTCCCTGCATTCTCTGATACCCCTTCAGTGCTCCCAGTCTTAATTCAATCATATGGTGAATTCACACGTCCAACCAGGATCCCTCTCCAGATTCCAGACTGGGAGAGCCACCTGTCTGCTTGGTACCTCCGTGCGGCACCTTGAACAGAACATGCCCCCCAAACCAGCTCCCTCTTGGCTCCCAAATCTTCCCCAACCTATCTGTTGGCTTTGTCCTTCTGGGTGATAGACCCAAATCTGGGAATCCTCTCCAACTCTTTCTCTTACCCCCTCCATGTCCACCTAACAGCAAATCCTATCAGCTCCGTCTTCAAATTGTAACTAGAATCCGACCATTTCCTGTTCCTCTAGGGCCCAAATCTTAGAGTCCCCAGTGTCACCCACCCACTGGGACCAGGAACCACTGCCCTTGTCTCCCAGCTCCGGCCCTAAACACCCCCAGTTTGTTTCTTCTACAGTAGCCAAAGAGCCCATGAACACCTAAGTCAGGTACTGTCCCTCCCTTCCTTAGGACCTACGTGATTCCCATGTCCCTTGGAATAAAAGTATTCCCTGCAGTTCACAATCTCCCTGCCCTCATTTCTCTCCCTTCCTCCCCTCACTCACTCCACACTGGGCTCCTCACTATCCCTCTAACCACGAAGCAAAGCCTCATCGCAGGGCCTCAGGCATATCCTGCTCCCACTGCTTGGAACACTCTTTCCCAGATACCTACACACTCACCCCACCCCCCACCTCCTTCAGGTCTCTGCTTAAATTATGTCACTTCCTTGGTGAGGCTGCTTCTGCTGGCCTTTTACTTAAAATCACCCCATCCCAAATGGACATCCCATATCCCCATCACTTCTGACTGCTTTCTTTTTCTCTGTAGCACTTCTCACATCAAACTTTTATTTTATTTTGTTTATTGTCTGTCCCCCTTCATGAGAAACAATAGCTTCATAAGGCAGGAATTTTTGTCTGAAGCTTCTTCAAAAAAACGACCACATACCCATACAGTTACACAGACACAACATGGTTCTCACCTCCCAGTGGGTGCTGTCAGTCACTCATGCTTTAGTAAGAACACAAGCCAGTCCTTTCAAAAAGCAATGCTCTGAGTCCCTGGCCTGTTTTCTCTCCCTCCTCTCAGCGCCCAGAGTTCAGCGAGGGCAGATTGAAAATCTTTATTGTTTTTCTTCTCAAATATAAAAATCACTCTCTCCCCTGGCATCTCATTAACCCCAGGTTGAAAATCAAGGGTAAGAATCACATTGCTAAAAAGAACAGGCCCTCCCCTGCCTCCAGCTTTATCCCAAACTCTTGTCCCATCTCAGAGAACAGAGGGCAGAAGTCATGACCTTAAGGCTCTCAGGCTGCTGACTGAGGCCTTCTGGATGCTGGGCCGCAGGTGAGCTGGGAGGAATCCAAGTCGGATTGAGCCCCAGCTGGCTGAGCAGGTGGCAGGATACCGAGGTCCATCAGTGCTTGTCTGTGGGGCGCGTGTTCAGGGATGCTAGGCGTCCCAGGGGCCCCCGGCGAGTGTTGGTGGCCAGGCGCTGCTGGGCCAGGAATGACTGGGCGTGGGCGGGTGCCCGCTCCTCCCCAGCTCGCTGCTGCAGAGCCATGCCCTGGAGGGAGGAAGAGGGGGGATGGTTGGGGTCAAGTTGAGCCCCACAGCACATCCCAGAACCCTTACTACAGAGACACGCACTCACCATATTATACCAGGCACTGATGAGCAACTTTTCTTCCTGCTCCCGCTGACTTCGACTCTTCTCAAAGTCCATCTGCCAAAGAGGGAACAATCAGGGGCCTGGATATGCTGGGGACAGTGAGAAGTGACGAGGCCACCCACCTCCAGGTGCCGGATGCGGACGTCCCGCTCCCGGAGCTGTGTCCTCAGGGTGTGAAGTTCTGGGGGTGGCCCCCCCGATGGTCGTTGTTTGGGTTCCAGGGTCTGCATGACCTAGGGTTTGGGAAAGACACAGGCAGGGTGACCTTGGCCTTGCAGGGCCTTGGACTCCTTGGGCTGCATTAAGCATGGTGCAGAAGTCTGTGATACGATGGCGGTACGGCAGGTGCAGAAGTGGGAGGCAGAGAGGTGCACACTGGTGGGAGGCACGGGTTGGTGGGAGGCCCATGGAGCACCCCAGGGTGCTCACCGTGCGCACCCTGTCCACGTAGCAGCGGTAGCGCTCTTCCATGGCCCGCAGGTCCGCATCCTTCTTCTGCAGGCTATGCTGCAGCTCCTCAATACGCCGGGCTGCTGTGGGAACAAGGGGACCCCTCAGCTCCCCACCTAGCTCAGGGCCCTCCTGCCCCACCCAGCTGCTGCGTCCCACTCACTGCCGCTGTCAGCAGGCGGTTCCAACTCCTCGATGTATTCTCGCTTCCTCTGCAGCTCCAGATCCGCTTCATGCAGCTTCTGCCTGTGCACAGAGGATGGGCAGCAGCAGGCTGACCGCTGGGCCCCCTTACCTTTCTCCCACTGATGGCCACAGCCTTCCCCGCCGGCCACCATGCACCTGCCTGGCTGCAGAGACCTGGGTGCCATCCCCCCAAGACAAGCGCTGCGCCTAGGTCCCATCATCCCCTAAGCCATCGGAGCCACAACTGTCCACGCCCCTCAACAGGTGGCCCCTGTGCCAGCCCCCTGTGCGTCCACTCCTCTCCATTCCCCAGCCCACATGCTGGCCCAGCCACCGTCACCCCATGCCAGCCTCTTCTACATTCAACCTCAGTGCCTTTCTCCACCCAGCAGCCAGGGATCTTTCTAGCAGGCATATTTCTTCTAACAAAAAGAAACTGCAAGGTGTAAAACCTTATAGTTCTGCCACCTGCAGCAAAACCCCAAAGATCTAAGAACACTCCTTGTAGGTGAGATTATTATCGTGCGCTGGATATGGAGCTCGGTCTAACACCTAACCATGAAACTTGGGCTATGTCTACTAAGATTATAAAGGCATGTGCCCTCTAGGTCCCCAATTCCACTTTGTCAACATATCTGCACAGAAGCAAAATGAAGCACATATGAGGTTTTACTTTGTGGCACTGTTTGAAATTGCAAATACCTAGAGAGAATGACTTTTTTTTTTTTAAAGATTTTATTTATTTGAGAGAGAGACAGTGAGAGAGAGCATGAGTGAGGAAAAGGTCAGAGGGAGAAGCAGACTCCCCATGGAGCTGGGAGCCCGATGCGGGACTTGATCATGCGGGACTCCGGGATCATGACCTGAGCTGAAGGCAGTCGTCTAACCAAATGAGCCACCCAGGCATCCCGAGAATGACTTTTTAAAAGATTTTATTTATTTACTTGAGAGAAAGAGTGAGCAAGAGAGACCACAAGCTGGGGGAGGGGCAGAGGGAGAGGGAGGAGCAGACTCCCTGGTGAGCAGGGAGCCGGATGTGGGACTGGATTCCCAGAACCCTGGGATCATGACCTGCGCTGAAGGCAGATGCTTAACCAACTAAGCCACCCAGGCACCGGAAAGAATAACTTATATACATTATGACATTCACAAAAAGACATTACAGGCCAGCCCTCCTGGATTGGAATTTCACAGGAGAATTAAGCCCTGATGTTTCCATATATCCATCCTCTGTAAGGAAATAACTTTTGTCTGCACTCTGGGTTGGTACTAGCTACAATCTATCCTTGGCAGAAGTCAAGCAAATCATTTTCTGTAAGGCCTAATTTCCCCATGGAACCCTAGTCAACAAGAGCTACTGTATTTATTGAAACAAAACAAAACAACAACAATAACAACTATTCATAGGGCAAAATTTCCCAGCCATCTTCTTTTTTTTTTTTTTTAAGATTTTATTTATTTATTTGACAGACAGATCACAAGTAGGCAGAGAGGCAGGCAGAGAGAGAGGAGGAAGCAGGCTCCCTGCTGAGCAGAGAGCCCGATGCGGGGCTCAATCCCAGGCCTCTAGGATCATGACCGGAGCTGAAGGCAGAGGCTTTAACCCACTGACCCACCCAGGCGCCCTCAAAAAAATAGTTTCTTAAAAAAATAAAATGTGGGGCGGGGGTGCCTGGGTGGCTCCAGTGGGTTAAGCCTCTGCCTTCGGCTTGGGTCATGATCTCAGGGTCCTGGGATTCAGCCCCACTCGGGCTCTCTGCTCAGCCGGGAGCCTGCTTCCCCCTCTGTCTCTGCCTGCCTCTCTGCCTACTTGTGACCTCCCTGTGTGTGTCAAATAAATAAATAAAATCTTTAAAATAAAAAATAAACAAAACAAAACAAAACAAAACAGGGAGGATGCCTGGGTGGCCCAGGTCATGATCCCAGGGTTCTGGGATCTAGTCCTGCATTGGGCTCCTCGCTCAGTAGGAAACCTGTTTCTCCCTCTCCCTTTTCCTCTGCCCTTCCCCCCACTTGTGCCCTCTCTCAAATAAATAAATAAAATCTTAAAAAATAAAATAGAATAGGGCGCCTGCCTGGCTCAGTCCGTTGAGCATCTGACTCTTGATTTCCACTCAGGTCATGATGTCTGGGTCAAAGGATTGAGCCCTGGGTCAGGCCCTGTGCTCGGCTGAGTCTTGCTTGTCCCTCTCTCTCTGCTCTCCCTGCTCGTGCTATCTCTCTCTCAAATGACTAAGTAAAATTTAAAAATATAAACCAAATAAAATGTTTTTTTCTTTAATTATTACTATTTTTTTTTTTTTTTTAGTAATCTCTACACCCAATGTGGGACTCAAACCCATGACTCCAAGATCAAGAGTCATATGCTCCACCGACAGCCAGCCAGGCACCCCCCAAATAGTTTTTTAACAGTATAAAATGTAAAAAGTGAGAATCACCTTTGTTTCCCCCATTGTTCCCCCCAAGCAGTTCATACTCCTTCCCTTGGCCCCTAAGACCCTACTTGATCTGATCCTTCTCTGTTTTGGCTGACTGGTTCTCCTCATAAATAAATCCCCACAGACAACTAATGTCCTCCACACCTGTGTCCCAGCTCCGCCCCCCCAGGAATGCCCTCCATCTGGGACTCACAGATGTTCCTCCAGCTTCCTCTTCAGCAGGGCGGACTGGGAGAGAGAACATGCACTGGGTGAATGAGGGTCCAGAGCTCCCAACTCCTTCCAGGGGTGAGGGCAGGGGGTGCCACCCTGGGCCCACGGTACTTACAATCGACTGCAGAGGACATCGTGCAGCAGGGAGGAGAGAGAGAAGGGTTACGGGCGGGGGGGGGGAGCAGGAGAGGGGGGCAGGAAGGGAGGAGGTGGGCACTCACATCCTCAGTCTTGCCCCCTTGCTCTTGCAAGGCCTTCTGCAAGTCCTCCACCTGCGCCCGCAGCTCCAACAGCTGCTGCTGGTTCAGCCTGCAGGAGTGCGGGGCTGCTGAGTGCCTGCGCCCGCCCTCTGCCCCCACTCACACGCCCCCTCCACGCGCGCGGTGGGGGGTGCCCTCCACCAGGTGGGTCCTCACCGCAGCTGCGTTTCCAGCCCGTGGCGCGCGCGGTTGGCGTCCTCCAGGTGGCGCTGCAGCTCCTCCTGCCGCTCCCGGTAGGCCGCCTCCTGCTGGCACAGCTGCTTGTTCTCCAGCTGAAGCCGCAGGAGCGTCTCCCTGCCGAGGACGGGAGTGAGCGGGGCTGGAGACGGGTCACCCCGCAGGCCTGCCGGGGCTCTGGCAGGGACACTGGGACGGACAGGGCTGGCAGAGGGACAGAGCCCTGGGAAAGAGCCCAGCCAGACCCCGGGGCCGGATCAGAGTAATGGGGACCCAGCGCGGGGGACCAAAATGGGCGGAGTTTTGAGCGGGGCCTAAGGGTGGAGCCAGGCAAAGGCGGGGCCACGGGAGCGGGTTAGAACATTGAGGATCCCGCTGTGGCTGTGAAAAAGCAAGGCTGCGGAATGACAGACGCAGAAATGGGAAGAATTGGGCTGGGGGAGTTCATCTGGGCAAGACACGGGGCACTGAGCCCAGCACGGGCTACACTGAGGACAGCACTACGCCCTGGGGGCAGAGTCCGATGTGAGCGGGGCTGGGGGAAGGAATTTTGCTCCGTGAGTGGAGCCAGATGGGTTGGACCTAATTTGTGTACTGAGGCTGGATCCTGGAGAGGCAAGCAACCCATAAGGCCTAGAGCGCCGACCAGGTATGGGCCGAATTAGGAATGAGTTGGCCTAGGAGCCAGGCTAGGTAGGATCGGGGATCCCAGCACAGCAGGCCAGGCCAGTAGTAGGTGCGTGCACTGGGAGCGGGGCCGAGGGGTGGGCTCTGGGTGCGGACAGAGCTCTGAGCGACCGCAGCGTACCTCAGCTCCGCAGGTAGGATCTCTGCTGCTAAGTTTTCCACAGCTGGTGAGGTGGGATCCAGCGAAGGGTCTGGAGTATGTCAGAAACGTCTTCAGGTTGATGCACGGCTCCTGCCCCCAGCCCTAGGGTTCTCTTTCCAAGAATCATCTCTGGGGACTCAAGTTTGGCCCAGAGCCTGGCTTAACACAAGTCTCACTTCCAGCTTGACAGGGAGCAGTGACACGTGGCGTGGGTTTGCCTTTGCCCCACCCTGATCCTGGGAGGTCAGCGCCTGCCTCCTGTCAGCCTTTGCCACCTCTCTCCGTTCTAGCCTGTCTCCAAAGTGGCCTAGCTCTGGCCCCAGCCTAGACAAGCCCTGGGGTGCTGGTTTTCTGTCTGCCCTAACAGCACCTTAGGGCCCCCCTTCCCCAGGCCCTAGGGCTGACAGTCCTCCGACTCACCAGCCTGGGTTAGCCCCCGGGGCTGGAGCTGGGCACAGCGCAGTTCCTCATTGGCCTCCCGAAAGGAGTCCCTCTCTGCCAGCAGCCGCTGGAGGCACAGGGTGCAAGACGCCGTTGGAGGGAGGGCTGGCCTCCTGGGGACTGGGCTATGCCAGGATGGACAGGGTGGGGCTTGGATGCGGGACTTCAGACTCACCTCCTTCTCCTTTGTCACCAACTCGTACTTCTCCTCCAGATTTCGACACTCGAAAAGCCATTTCTCAGCCTTCATAGCCTCCTCCTGCCTTTGGCCCTGAAGTTCCTGAACCTGAACAGAGAGGAGGGGTGAGGAGGCAGGGTTGGAAGGTGGAGGCATGGGGCCGGAGAAGCCAGACACAGAGAACTTGATAGAAGTGAGGCTTCCAAGCCCAGGGAGGAGCCGACATGACTGAAGGGCGCTACCCAAAATGAGAGACACAGGGCTCTGGGGGAGGGGCTCAGCCACCCCAAGGATAGGCCAAAGTGAGAGGGGTGAGGGGTCCAGTGGCCTGGAGCACCCGGTCCCCCAGGCTCTGCCCTGGTCTCTGCCGCACCTGCCGTCGCTGTGCCTCGAGCTGGGCACGAAGCGAGCCGGCCCGGCGTAGCTCGTCCTCCAGCTGCCGGGTGCGCTCGGCGTGGCCGGCGTTGCGCTCCTCCAGCTGCCGCACCTGCCGCCTCAGCTCCCGCAGCTCACCCAGCCGGCGCCGACAGCTGCTCAGCGTGGCCTCCAGCTGTCCAGCACGCTCAGAGGACTGCCTGGGGGAGGAGGCAAGTTGGGAGAGGAGGCCTAGGTTTGGACTCAGGGTTCAGCTTGGATCTAAGGCCCTCCACCAAGGGGAAGAGGTCATGTCACCTGGGGATGTGTGCGTTCAAGGTGGTAGATCGTGAGGGTCAGGAGTCAGCCAGGGCCTGGTGATGCTGGGGAGTCATTAAGGGGCATAGAGGGAGCCCTAAGCACCAGTGGTTAGCCCAGGGTCATATTCAGGGATGGGGGGGCAGATTCGGGGGATATGGAATGACTGAGGGGTTCCAGGAGGAATGATGGTGCCCAGAGGCTCTGACGAGGCTCCTAGGACACTTTGAGGTTATAAGGTGGCTATGGGATCAATGAGGGCATGGTGGGGTCATGGGGGGAACTTCAGGGCAGAGGCCTCTGTGGTCCTTTAAGGTGCAGTAGGGATTCACTAGACACTCTAACATTACAGGGGTGCTGGGGGTCAGAGGGGAGCCTTCCGAGGTTACAGAAGGCATGGTGAGGTCTAGGAAGTGGGTGTTCTAGAGGCCCACCAAGTCCTCTGGAGCCGCAGGCGTGCTACAGAGTCCTAAGAAGGGACAGTCCTATCATGAGGGGCACAGAGGGGTCATGGGGGTTGGGAGGGCAGGAATGACTGCATTTTGGGTCCTGGAGGGCACAACAGGATCCTGGGGCACGATGGCACCTGGGCAGCAAGGGAACAGGGGTGGGCAGCTGGTAGCTGGGGTCGTGGGGATGCACCAAGATCTGGGGACTATAATGTGGGATCCCAAGGGCACACTGTGGGGTCTTGGGGGGCACCAGGGATCCAGGAACCTTGGTGGTGTCCAGAAGACACGGGGGAGTCCAGGGACAGTACAGGGGGACTCAGGAGGTCCCCGTGGAGTCTAGGAGACATGGTGCAGGTTCACCGGACATCTGGGGGTTTTCAAGGAACTGTGGCATCAGAGAGACACGGTGGCAACAAGTGTGTGAGGTGAGGACCCAGGGACTGGCCACTCACCGCAGCTCGTCCATCTCATCCTTCAGTGCCTGTGCCTCCTGGGCTAGACTGGTCAGCACCTGGTTCCTCTGCTGCAGCTCCGAGACCTCCCGCTCCAGCTCTGCACAGTGCAGGCGCTCATCCTCCCTGCCGTTCTCCAGCCTGGGGGCAGGGCGGGAAGAGAGGGACGCTTGAGACCACTGGAGGCGGGGCTGACCCCCTGGCCTGATGGCCCGGGCCCCAGCTGACAGCACCTGAAGTTCTCCTCCTGCAGCTGCTCCAGCTGGGACTGCAGCAGCAACAGCTTCTTGGCAGTGAGGCCCTCGGCGCCCTCGCCCTCTGGCCGGCCAGCCCGCTCCCGCAGCGCCGCGTTCTCCTGGACCAGGCTCTGCTTCTCCTCGGCCAGGAGCACCAGCTGCAGGCAGGAGGTGCACAGGAGCTGGAGTTCGGCAAGGGGCGGGGGGTGGGGGAGACAGAGTGCGGGGGAACGAGGCCGAGGCGAGCAGCTGGGCCCCAGGAGCACCTGCGTACCCCCGCCCCACCTCTCACCTGCCGCTCCAGGTCCAGACAGCGCTGCCGAAGTTCATCCCCTTCATCGGCCTCCTCGCTCAGGAAGTAGTACCTTCGGGACTGAGGAGGGGAGTGGAGGGTGGGGAGGGGCAAGGAAGTCAGGGAAACCCCACCCCTGCAAAGAGACTAGGGGGAGGCTGGTGCCTCTAGTGGCAGAGAGGAGGAGCCCAGAAACCCTCTGGACCTCACAGAGGGCTGGGACTCCAGGGCACTGGAGGGAAGGTGACATGGGAACGAGGGAAGAGGTGAGAACCCTGAGGGATGGAGGGAGTCTATATGTTTAAGGTCAAGTTCCTCCTCCTGAGGCAGCCCTGAGACTCAGCGATGGGCTTGGACCTTTAACAAGGTCCCCCACCTCTTACCTGGTTATCAAAGTTCCCATATGTTTCTGGTGACAGGGAGTCAGGGGTGTCTTTGATCATGAGCTGAAGTGGGGCAGGAGGACATGGAGATGAGCTGGGCCCTCTGGGGGTGGCCATTAAAGCTTCCATGCTCCAGCCTAAGGATCTCTCCATCCTCCTGTCCCCACAACCAGTTCTCCCCAAGAACCCCAGTCTAGAGGCTGCCTTCCTGCCATGGATCCAGCAGGGAGGCTGGGTCCTTTGAGGGTGCAAAATTGTGACTCCAAGCTGGGAAGAGCTGGCAGACACATGAGACAGGGAAATCTGGCCAGCTGAGTTCCAGGAAGAGCCCAGACCTTACCAGGCCCGAGCCTGTGCCCAGTGGCCTCTGCTCTGGTGTCCCCTCCCCTGGCGCTCCTCGCCACATTGGGCACCCCCACCTACCTCCTGGATGGCTTCCATTACCACATGCTGCACAGATTCCTCCAGTGTCATGATTCTCTGGATGTGTTCTGGGGATCAAGGTGGGGAACAGTGAAACCCGGGGACAGGGGGTGAGGAGGATTTCCTCAGGTCGTCCCCTGGGGGCTCCGAACCAGCATACCCTGCTTCTTCTCGCAACTGATGGCACAGCCAAGCACCAGCTGAAGCAGCTTGCCAAGTTCTTCTGGGTCCGAAAACTCGCCAATGAAGCTCACGTCTGGAAGGTGCTGCTCCAAAACAGGATGTCCCAGGACCTGAGGACAGGGGGTGGGGGTGGGAAGAGGGGATATGGGGGCTCACAGACACTCACCTCCTCCCAAACCAACCCCATCCCCCAAATCCTGTCACAGTTACTCACATCCTGGGAGTACTCCACCAAGCTCTGTAAGATGGTCTTCAGATTGCTAACCTAGGGAGGGGCAAGGAGTTGTGCCCAGGGTCCCAGAGTGCCCCAGAACAAGCCAGGCGGCCCCCATTCTGAATCTGCCTATCCCAGCCTTTTCCCTCTGCCTCATTTCCCAATCCCTGCTCATCTCATCCTGTTTGGCACCATTCTCTGTCTGAATGTCCTCTCTCCTAGGGGTGAACTATCCAGTCACCTGCCCTTCTTGTCCCCCTGCCTATCTTGTTTGCATGTCCCCAGAGCCCAATCACTTCTCATCACCTGCCTTGCCACCCTTTGGCCCTAGCCGTCTTCATCTCTCACCTGGATTACTGCACCAACCTGGTCTCAATTTCCACTCTTGCTGCCTACCCCCCATTCCTCTCCAAGCAGCCACAGGGAGCTTTTTCAAAGCCCAAATCCAGGTTGTGTCTTTCCTCTGCTAAAACCCTCCCTTGACTTTGCACAGCACTTAAAATAGAATCCATCTCCCTGCCCCAGCCTGCCCTCCTCCTGATGACCTCATCCACCATTCCTGCCCCCTTGTTTTCTGTTCTGACTGCCTTGCCTTTCCTCGATACCCCACGCTTATTCCCCACTTCGCACCTGCTGTTCCCTGTGCCTGGAATCCCATTTCTCCAAATTTCACATGGAGATCAGCCCATCTGGAGTAACTACACACCTAGCTGCCCTCTCTTGTGGCCCAGCTTTTATTATCTTCATAGAACTTACTGCCACTGGAAGTTAATGTTTCTGTGTGTGTGTGTGTGTGTGTGTGCATGCGCGCGCGTGTGTGCGAGTTTTTGTCTTTTTTATTCCTTGCTGCACACCCAGACCTGTTCCATAGGAAAAGGAAAGAACAGAGTTGGCTCATCACCAGACATGTATCCCTCTTCCTAGCCAAGTCTGTCCATCACCCAGGACATATGTCTAGCTGACCCATTACCCAGGACATATCTAGCTTAGCCTTCCCTGATTATCTCTTTGCCAGTCTGTCCCCCAGTCATGAGTCCACCTGTCACCTTCAGCCTCCAGTTGGGACCTGGGTCATCTGAGATGCCTTGGAGCCACGCCTCGTTGAACCAGGAAGGGTCTCTGGGGGCGAGAAGGTGGGATGAGCTGCTGGGGGACCTTTTCCGGACCCTCCCCCTCAGCCCCACTCACATCTGGTTCAGCACATAGGCTATGGCGAGGCCACTGCTCAGGTCCTGGGGGCTGGTACAGGGGGACGGGACGTGGAACGTCTGCAACTGGGGAGGAAGAGGAAAGGTAACGGGCAGTCAGGGCCTGGGAGAAGAGAACCATTCTCCTTTTGCAGACTTTCCCGGTCAGCAGGAACGTTCACAGTTGGCGGAGACTGGCCTATGGCTTTCTCAGACCAGCTCCGCGGGGGAGTGGCCTCTGCACACCTGGGACTGGAGGGGGCGTGGCCTCACTTCACTTCTGTTCAACAAGCCCCGCGCGACCAGGGCAGGGCGGAACCACGAGTCACCTGGTCCCTACAGGCCCCACGTGACCAGGTCAGCCCACCTGCGCCCTCGCCCTGTGTGACCCAGCCGCGAAGGGGCGGGGCCTCACCTGTTCCTTCCACGCAGACCTGCCACGTGACGGGGGCGGGTGCTCAGGCCAAAGTCCAACCGCCCTGCAAGCCCATCACCCTTTCCTCCTCCCAGTCCCAAGAACAGAGGGGTAGACTTAGCCAAGGCCAGGGCTCCCGGGCAAGAAGAGCGGGCGCACACCTGTCCCTGGCCCCGCCCCCGACCTACCCAGGTGAGCAGAGACCCGCATAGCTCGGCCTTGTCCACGCTCATGACTCCCGATCGGATTCGACCCCGGCCGCGGAGCTCCGCCGCCGCAGCCACCTCCTGATCCGCCACCAGCGAGCGCCCGCAGCTCCGACCTCCCGCTCGGCCTAGAGCGCCGCCCCGCCCCGCCCCCTAGGCGCAGGCCCCGCCCCGGACACGTGATCTCCCGGCGCCGGGTCGGACTTCCAGTTCCCCCATCTTGGATCCGGGCGGCGTTCGAGTGCCCGCCTTGCCGCTAGGGGTCAGCCTGGGCCCAGCTTGCACATCCCAAGTGTGGCCCAGCTACCCCTCCTCCTTGGCTCTTTTGGGGGTACCGGAGACCTCACGATAATTCCTCATCATGTGAGGCGGAGCTGTCCCACCCTGTTATACGGGCTTATTCACGTCCTTTCCCTTCAGCTGGAAGAAATTCTGCTGCCTAACCACCTTATCGGAGTCCTGATCTGCCCTGGGAAAAGGCAGGCCGCCATAACACGTTCTTTGGACTTCGAGGAGAGATCCTAAAGGGGTCTTCCCGGTGGAGGTGACTTGGGAGTCTTGACTCAGGGGTAAACAAGGGTAGACGAGCGTGGTCCTTAGGTCGAAGGCAGGATGAATCAGCCAGACTCAGGTCTTGGGCGATGGACAGACACGCTTGCCCAGTATGGATCTAGTTCCACCAAGCTTTTGCCTGCGCCATACCCGCGCTACCCCACCCCACCCGACCCCCAACCCCAAGCCCCTGAGGTCCTCCTGCTTCAGATCCCAGGACCAGGCCGCCCTAGTCCCCAAGGCCCACCAGGGGGCGCAGACTGCAGGAGCGCCGCCAGCAGGGAAGCAATGTGCCCTCAGAGACCCTGCCCGGGCGATGGAGGGGACTCAAAGGAAAGTGGTAACAATAGTAGTTAATAAAATAGCAGTCACCATTTATTGTCTACAGTATGCAGTTCCTGCGCTAATCGATTTAAATTATATAGGCGGTTGAAATCTCCCCATGACTAGATGGCAGGTGCTGTTTTAATTCCCGGTCGCAGGAGAGGAAACAGGCTCTAGTTGGCTCTAGAGGAAAGGGCAAAGCCCCGGCCCGCACCCTTTGGCGCCAGAATACCCCAGCAGCTCCTCTCCCACGAGGCGGGCAAGGTAATGAGCAGTAATTAGAGGTTATTAGCTGTACCTGGAGGGAGGGGCGGGCTCTGCTTTGGGGGTGGGTCTAGGTCTGAGGGGAGGGGTGCTACTCTCTCCAGCCCTGAGTCTGGCTCCCGCGACCCTGCCCTGGAGCGGGTTGAGCAAGATGAGAGCACCCCCACGCCGCATCGCAAGAGCACAGTCACTCTGCCATCAGAAACCCAGTTACAGCCCACTCAGACGCACAGCCGCACGCACGCGGGGGCCTCCCAGGCTCGTCTACACCCCCACACCCCCTTCCCGCGTTGTTTTCGGCCTCCGACCCCGGGGAGTGGGGTGAGGAGGAGGAGGAGGGAAGGGGACAGGGGCCGGCAGTGCCGGCTTCCGGGCTGGGCTGCCTTCCGGCGGGCGGGCGTGGGAACAATTACCGCTGGCTCCCCTTCCCGCACCCGCCGGAGGACGGGGTGCTGCCAATCGGGGGAAATGGGGCCACCCTACCCCCAGATAAAAGTGGAAGATGGGCCGGGAACCACGGTTCTTACAAGCAGGGGGGTGCTGGGACTATTTGCGGGAGGGCCTGTTTGCCCAGTGATGGGAGACCTGCTGTGACCGCCACATATTTGGGGCGGGATCCCCGATATTTGCAAAAAACCTGCAGGGATCATGATGTGTAGGAAGAATCTGGGAATCCAAATATTTGGGGCATGGACTTAAATTGTTCTAATGTGATATGGGCTTTCTAGATTAGATGTTCAGTGACCTGAGTCCCCAGATTTAAGGAAAGGTCTGGGTGCCCTCAATTTGGGAGAGAAGCAATAACCCTTCTTTTGGGGCTGCAGGGATTCTTACGTTTGTGGGGAAAGGAAGCTTCCATGTTGGCAGGAAAGAGTGAAATCTCTGTTATGGGATTCAGGGAGCCCCACTGTTGGGGGTGATCTGGGTACCTTCAATTCTATGAAAGGGATCACAAGCCCTCACGTTGGGGCAGGAACCTTGTATTTTGGGGAAAGATGCAAACCTCCATTTTTGGTGGAGGGAGCCCCAAATTTTGGGGGATGCCCCAGAGGCCTCCATTAGTAGGGACAGAGAGTGTGGGTGGGGGCCAGCAGCCCCCAGCTGGTTTGGAGACCCCACCCCCTCCTGCCTGTTTCCAGGAACAGCTGGGTTCAGCCTGGGTTGTACTGCTGGGAAGCTGGTGACTCAGCCCCTCCCTGCGGCCACAGCTGGACCCCGGCCCATCCCCTCCAGCCTTCACATCTGGGCAGAGACCCAGTCATGAGGGCTAAGATGGGGATCGTGGGTGCACACAACTGGAGGATGATGTCCTTTCCCCAGGACAAGGGGAAAGGACATCACCCTGTGGACACCATGGTCCACCTAGCTACAGGGTGGACACCATGGTCCATACCAGGAGGGACTCTGGCAGGCCTTTTGCCCCATAGACACTGACAGCTTACCACCGGGAACTCCCATCCTGTCCTCCTCGTGCGCGCGTGCGTGTGTGTGTGTGTCTGAATCCATGTAAAGTGGCTCACATTTATGTGAGATGGTGTGAGATGGTGGGTCTGTGATTGTGTGTGCACAGGCATTGTGTCTGCATCCGCCTGTGTCTTGGGGCCCTGGGAATTTATGCAATAGACTGTGATTTGGTGGTGGGGGTGCTGATGGGGACTGGGGCACATGCTTCTCTATACGCAACCTTGCTGTGTGTCTACATCCCTGTCATTTTTTTGTATGAGAAGTGTCCAACTTCTCATGCAATGAGAAGTGTGTGACAGTGTGTGACAATCAGTACCTCAGTGTGGCTTTAGGTTCTGTTTTTGTGCGACCATGTCTTTTCTCTCCCTGTGGCTTTCTGTGATAGCATGACCCTGACATGTGTGTCCTTGATTTGTCCACATCCCCATGACGGAGTGTCCTGTGTGTGCGTTGTGGGTTTGTCTGTGACTCTAATTGTGTACCCTATTTGTGATGACTGTAGGACAGCATGGCTGTCCTTTCTGTTCCAACCATGTGTCTCTGTGCCTTTACAATCTCTATGTGAGAGGCATGGTGGCTGTGTTCCAACTGGAGTCCTGGCGTCCAAGACTTTGTATCTGTGTCTTACTTTGTCTTGAGGATGACGGTGTGGCGTTATCAGAGTACCTATACATAGCACCCACCTGTGTAGGGAGATAGCCCCGTCTGTCTCCACACACAAAGAATAACAGGTGTGCCTGTGTAACCATCTGGGTCTCCGTGTGTGTCTGTGTGTCCGTGTGATCCTCTCTGTGACCTCTGTGGGGCTGGCTGGACTACTGAAGGTTTGAGCCAGTGTATGGCAGGTGTATCCTGTGTTCGTGTGACACTGTAGGTCATCGGAGAGTTTGTGACCTTGTATATGGGGGGGGTGTCAAAGTCACCGGGGACACCGCGCTCAGCGGAGGCGGAGATGTGCGCAGTGGGCACCAGACGCCCCACGTCCCGCGGCTCTATGCCGGGAGGAGCCCCTCCCCGCGCTGCGGGGGCGCGTGCGTCGTGCGTGACGTGAGACACGACGGGGGTCGCTGCATGCGTGAAGCCCGACGCGGTCGTGCGTGCGAGCGCGGGGCGGGGGAATGGGCTAGCTGCGTGAGCGTGTGCGTGGGTGAGCGCAGGGTGGGGCGCGCGGGGGCGCGCGGGGAATAGCCCCGCCCCCTCCCCGGGCTTTGGGCGCCGGTGAAACCCGGGAGGGGGCCGCCGTTAACCCCTTCCTGCCCGACCTGAAACTTGTGGCCCCTCAACGGAGCGCGCAGGGGCTTCCCCAGCGCGCGGGGGCCGTCCCTGCTGAGAGAGGAACTCCCCCCCCCCGCCGTGGAGCTGAGACCCCCGGTTACCATGGGAACCGGAGCTTCCCGCGCGGCCTGACGCGTACTTCCTCCCCTCCCCCTGCTCGCTCCGCTCCGCTCTTCTTTCAGCTCCGTGGTCCACCGGCAGTGCGCTTCCCGCTCCCGGTCTCTTGGGGGAAGGGGGTGGGGGTCAGCGAGGCTGGAGCGTGCGTGACTCAGGCCAGCGCGGGGGTCCCTTGGCCGCAGCCGACCTTGCTCCCCCTTCTCCACCCCGTGACTCACCCTTCGCGGCTTTCCCCGAGTGTGAGTCAGGCCCCTGGGGAGGGGGCTGCGGACTCTGAGACCCCCTCCAGGCAGTGGGGGCTGAGAACCAAGTTTTAGGGACCTCCCGGTACAGGGGAGAGGGGCGCCCCTTCCGGGGGCTGACGGTGTGTTCCCTTTGCCAGCCCTCGCCAAGGTCGCTGGAGGTGTTTCCCTCCACCCTAGAATTGGCAGGGCCTCCCCTCACAGCCCAGGCCTCCGGGAACCCAGCTCCCACCCCTCCCCCCCAGCCCACAGGAAGTTTTGGCAGAGCCCATCGTGGCGATGAAACGGTTAAAGCCGTTTAATTATTCATTTCAAACAGGGGCCCCTTTTGACTCAGAGCTAGCCCAAGCCGGGCGCCCCCTTGAGCCAGGCCTCATGGGGGCCTGGGTTTACACTTCACCCTACAGGTACCATTTTTAGAGAAGGGAAGGAAGGCGGTTGGTGAGCTGGCTGGGGGTCTTGGGTAGCATTCAGAGCTGGGTTCAAATGCTGCCTCTGCCATCGTTGCCATCTCAGTTCCCCCATATGAAAACTGGGGATAATTATACCTGGCCCATTGTGTTGTTGTGGGAATTAGGTGAATAATAGAGGGGACGCTTTGCATCCTGAGCTGGGCATAGCAATAGGAGAGGCCTGGCAGGCAGTAGGACCCAGATTCCTCCTGTCTCTCCAGCCTGGGTGTCAAGGTGCCCAACAGAAGCCAGTCCTTGTGGGGTGGGCCGTGCCCCACCCAGGCGCTCTGAGGCCATGGGGTTCATCCTATCCACCCCCTGCCCCAGGCGGGCACCCAGGAAGTGAGAGGCGGGGCAGGAATGAGGCGGAACCTGTTGGGCCCGTTGCCTTCCCACCTCCCACCCTCATTCCGGGGCCCTGACAGGC